TGAAATTACAATTAAATGAAAAAAAAAAGTCCTCTTAGTGGCAATATATGCGCCAAACGATCATCAGGAAACTTTTTATCAAAAATTACACATGTTACTTCTACAAGTGGATTTCCAGACTATGTGTGTAATGGGAGATTTCAACGTGATTGTGGATAAGGAAATGGATCATAAGAATGTTAGTAAAGGAAAAAAGGGTAGGAGGATACTCCCAAAGTCCTGTTCTAACATGATGGAAGAATTCAGACTGACAGACGCTTGGAGGCACAAAAACCCATCTTCTGCCAAATACTTTTTTTATTCAAATAGACATAGGTTGTGGTCTAGAATTGATATGGTTTGGATAACTCCAGACTTAGTACCAGATCTGATAGAAGCTGAAACAGAGGGAAATGTCTGGGCAGATCATAACCCAGTATTTTTATCACCAAAAGGAACTGTAAGGATGCCCAGATGGAGCCTAGATAAAACATTGTTAAAAGATAAATTTACAGAAAAGATAAATAAAGAAATGCAAGTATTTTTTCAAATAAATAAACCAGAAGAAACTTCTTTACAGAATGTCTGGGATACAGCTGAAGCCTATGTCAGGGGACTGATAATAACATATTCAGCACAAATAAGTAAAAAGAAAAAACAAGAGCGAGCAATGATAGTAGAGGAGTTGATGAAATTGGAACAAGTATTGCAGGAGGACCCATCAAAATGAAGTCTTAAGTCTCAATTGGATATTTTAAAGCATAAGTTAAACCTTTTGGATAAAAATGAGCTTACTAAACAAATGAAGTTGACCAAGCAGAGCTTCTTCGAAAATGCTAATAAACTAGGGAGATGGTTTAGTTAAGTTAAGAAAGAGAAAGAGAAGAGATTGATTGTGAAACTGAAAGATGGAGAAGGACAATTACATGTACAGAGTGCACAAATCAAGAAAATAGTGGAAGACTTTTTTAAAAAGTTGTATCAGGAGGAGGAGATTTCAATTGAGAAAGTTAAAGAATATATTTGAAAGGAAGAGTTACTGAAACTACCAGAGAAATACCAAAAGCTATTAAATCAAGAAGTCACAATTACGGAAGTAATAGAAGCAATTAAGCGACAGAAGAATGACAAAACCCCTGGCCCGGATGGTCTGCCAGCCGAGTTTTACAAATCTTTTGAAGCAATTTTTGCTACACTCTTAAAAGATATATGTGATGAAGCACTGTTAAATGCTAAAATACCAACTTCTTGGACAGAGGCAAATATCACATTAATACTGAAAGAAGATATGGATGTAGCACAGATTCAAAACTACTGACCTATATCAATATTAAATGTGGATTACAAAATTTTTGCTTCCATACTTGCAGAAAGATTGAAAAAGTTATTAATAGACCTTATCCATCCAGACCAAAATGGCTTTTTGCCAAAAAGACAAATGAAGAATAACTTGAAACTATCTTGGATATCTTAGAATATTAAGAGATACATACCGAAAAAGCAATGGCTTTACTGTTTATGGATGCCCAAAAAGCCTTTGATAATGTTAATTGGCAATTTATGAAGCAACAGATGATTCAAATGGAGTTTGGTGAAAAATTTACGAATGCGATATCAAGTATTTCTCAAAAACAGTCGGCCAGGATCTTAATTAAAGAAGAACTTTCAAACCCTATAGAGATTCAAAAGGGCACAAGACAAGGTTGTCCGTTGTCACCCCTCCTGTTTATTTTGATTTTAGAGGTACTGAATAGAAGTGTTAGGGATGACGAGGACATCAAAGGTACTAGAATTAGGGACGAAAGTTATAAATTGCAAGCATTCACAGATGATTTGGTCTTTATAATGGAAGAACCTTTTGTAACAATGCCTAAACTTTTGCAATGGATTGAAGAATATGGTGAAGTTACGGGAATGAAAATAAATAGAAAAAAATGATACTGTTAGTTAAAAACCTTACATGAGAGCAAAACGAAAGGCTCCAGGAACAAGTAGATTTGCAGATTGCTAAAAAGGTTAAATACTTGGGAATCTATCTTACAGCTAAATGTACCACTTTGAAAATAGATAATTATGATAAATTATTGAAGGATATTAAAGGTAATTTGGAAAAATGGGCCAATTTACAATTATCTTTGATGGGAAGAATAGCACTTGTTAAAATGAATATATTTCCTAAACTTCTGTTTCTGTTTCAAATGATTCCCATAAAAATTGATAAAAAATTTTTGATGACCTGAATTTTCAAATCTCGAGATTTATCTGGAGGAAAAAGAAACCAAGGATTAAATTAAAAATGCTTCAGAAAGCTAAAAGGAATGGAGGTTTTGGTCTTCCCGATTGGATGTTGTATTATCAAGCATCTATGTTAACGTGGCTAAAAGAATGGATAACTTTGCAAAATAAGAGAATTTTGTATCTTGAAGGTCATGACTTGCAGATGGGTTGGCATGTTTATATGTGGTACAAGAAAGCTAAGTCACATGGGTCTTTTCTGAGTCACTTTATTAGAAGATCTTTAATGTCAGCATGGGAAAAACTAAAGCTAAAACTGTATAATAAATTACCAAGATGGCTTTCACCTATGGAAGCTTTCATATATCCAAATGTATTGAACTTTGAAAAGCTCACAAGATATGACGATATCTTGGATAAGGATGGTGGCCTGAAACTGGAGCAAGAAATACAAGAACAGGGACATAATATTTCCTGGTGGTATAAGGTGCAGATGCAATTGAGATATGCTAAAGATTGTAAAACATGGGGGTTCTACAAAGACCTAACAAAGTTTGATCAAGTGATGCTTAAAACAGATGAGAAAATTATTAAAAGACTATATGATTTTTTACTTGACAGGAAAATGGCAGGGGAACAGGTTAAGGAAACTATGATAACATGGGCACAGAACTTTGGATTTAATGTTAAACTATAAAAGTGGCAAAATTGTGGGAAAGAAATATTAAGGTAACATTAGCAACTTTATATAAAGAAAATTTATATAAAATGTTCTATAGATGGTATTTGTCACCAAATCGATAAGCTAAGATGTTTCCAAATATGTCAAATAGAAACTGGGTACTTTCTATCATATGTGGTGGACTTGTGATAAGGCGAAAAAATATTGGATTATAATACATAGATGGATGGAGAAAATATTACAAAAACCCTTTGCTTTTAAACCTGATGTTTTCTTGTTAGGCATCATACCCAAAGACATTAACAGACAGGAAATGTATCTGATGCTGCACCTAATCACAGCGGCGAGGATTGCATTTGCTCAATATTGGAAAAGTGAGGAGCTGCCACCGATGGATTGAGTGTAAGAAAGATCTTGGACTGCGCAGAAATGGATAGATTGACTTTATCATTGAAGGAGAAAGAGGATACTGACTTCTATCAAACTTGGGATTCTTTCTATAATTGGCTGGAAAAACGGGACTTGGTGTAAACTTAGAGATGTTTTTAAATTATTATAAATTAATTTGAATTTGACTTTGGAATGTTAAAAAATATGTAGTAGGAGGCTGACCCAGTAAATCCAATGTATGTGATGTTTGATGTTTTTAGTGTTAGTTTAAAATTTTAATAAAAAAAATTATATTAAAAAAAGAAAAGAAAAGGGAAAGAAGGAGAAAGAGAAAGAGATACTTAAAGTAAGGTTCTGAAGAGGAAACTGAAAAGAGGCAGAGAAAGATGCAAGAAAAGAACTCCTGGGAAACAGCAAACAAACAAAGGAAGGAAATCAGAAATAGTAGCAGCAATATATTTTTCCTTCCGGTTAACTATGATCCCACCAGTTCTCAGTAACTGAAGTTCTTGCATAGATAACTGGAGAACTGGACCACAGAACTTGAGACAAATCTTTTCTTCATTAAAGAAATTAACTACCTTTGTGGACTATATCACTGGATTCCCTTCCTTCCATTTCATTGGCAAGGTTCACACAATCTGACAGCCCACCACTGCTTAATTTAGCCACAAAGAATGCTACATGGTGCCAGGTTCCTGTGGGTGTTTAGCTTATTATGTGTCCTGCAGAGGGCTTTTTTGTCATAGAATGCACTGAAACGGCATTCTGGCACCTTTTTTTGATGGATTTTTCCATGTGATTGTGACTCACCCTGTTGGGCGTAGCAGGTCAGCAGCAAAAAGCATTAAAATAGTGCCTGTGGGCTGCGTGTGTGTCCATGCTGCTTGTGAGGGTGCTGCTTGGCTCGGGACGCTGCTCAGCTTGGGATCGGTCATGTGATTGCATGCTGAGTGCTTACTGCCAGCGGCGACCATTATGTTTATGTGTGTGTAGAGTGACTGGCTACATGCAAAAGGTAAATAAGTTCTTTATTTCAAAAAAAGTTGGTGAATTGAAAATCTTTTTTAGTGTAAAAGTGTGACCCCAAGAGGTGAGTTCCAGCACCTTTTTTTATATATATACAAAAAAAGCACTGGTCCTGCAATTGAAGGCAGCAGGAGTAGTTGAGGGTTAGACAGCTCTCAAATCACCCTTTAAGAAGCCATTGGTTTGAAAAAGTCAATGGTCTACAGCTGCTGTCTTGGTTTGTATGTTTCCTGTGGAGGCTGTTGTATATTAAGCCACAGTGATCTGTAATGGTGAGTGACCCAGACATTGATTCCTACATTAAATCAAGCATTAATCTGAATGATTTCTTTCCTGCCCTAGGTTGAATTAGAAATATAGAAAGAAACATAGAAACAGAGTGAGTCAGAAGGGGTCTCCTGGGCCATTGAGTCTTACCCCTGTCTCCAGCTAGCTCCACTCATGGCATGCGTACCATTAACTCCAGTTCTTGTTCTATAAGCTGTTAACTCCCCACTCCACCCCCAGAATCCCTTTTCCAGGACCAGGAGGATCCTAGTCAGCTGGCAGCACCACATGCTACATCAGGATGAGTACTTTATTCCTTTGCCCATCCCACAATCTTGCTAGTATGAAAATAAGGGTTTGCTTATATACCCATAATAGTAGTTTCTTCTATTTCTTCTAACAGGCAAACGAGGAAGGCAAAATAAGCAACCTTACTTCTATGTCCATCTTTCTGCTGTTGGAATTCTCAGATGCCCAAGAGCTACACATCTTCTACTTCTGTGTTTTCCTGGCAATATATTTGATAACAATCTTAGGGAATATTCTCATCGTTGTTTTAGTTGCTTTTGAGCACCACCTACATACCCCCATGTACTTCTTCTTAATGAATTTGGCCATGCTGGACATTGGAACAATTTCTGTCATGGTACCAAAATCTCTTGGTATGTCCTTCATGAATAGCAGGTCAATTTCCTCTTCTGGGTGTGTGGCCCAGGTTTTCTTTTACCTCTTCTTTGCAGCAACCAATTTTTCTGTCCTCACTATAATGGCACAGGATTGCCATGTTGCCATCTGCAATCCACTCCAGTATGAAAGAATTATGCACAAAGGAGCCTGCCTCCAGATGATAGCCATTGCGTGGTTTACTGGTCTTCTGTATGTCATCTTACATACTGGTAGCACCTTTGCCATCTCCTTCTGCTCCAATATTGTCCATCAGTTCTTCTGTGAAGTCCCACAATTAATTAAGCTTTCCTGCTCTGATGTGTATCTCATTGAAGTTGGGCTTATTGTACTAAGCTGTAGCATAGGATTAGGATGCTTCATCTTCATCATTGCAACATATGTGCAAATTTTTGCCGCAGTGCTCAGAATCCGCTCTGTGCCTGGTCAGAAGAAAGCCCTGTCCACTTGCCTCCCCCACCTCATCATTGTCTCAGTGTTTGTATTCAGTTCAGTCTTTGCCTATGCAAGTCCTCTCACTGATGCTTCTTCTGATCTGAACATACCTTTTGCTGTGATATATACTCTAATTCCTCCCATACTGAATCCATTCATCTACAGCATGCGAAACAAAGAAATCAAGTCTGCTTTGTGGGAAAAAATCAGATCCGGGGCTTTACCCTAAAAAATAATCATAATGTTGGTCAGTGAGAGTTGCATATGATTCACTTCTATATGTAAAGAATCAGTCCCATGGTTAGTGACCTCACACAAGGACTAGGGTAATATTCCCTTTTTGCAGCCCCCTGCAACATTGTGATGAAGCTGTTAAGGGGGTGGTGTGAGGTCTGGCAATCCCTGCAGGAATAAAGAGCTAGACAGGCGCTCAAGAGATCCAGGTTTGAGACCCTATTTGGCCTGAAGCTCAGTGGGTAATTTTGGGCCAGGTTAGGATTCTCAGCCTAACTTACCTCACAAGGCTGTTATGAAGATAAAATGGAGAGGCAGAGGAGGTTTATGCAAAGCACTTTAGGTTCCTTGTAGGGAAAACAATCTTGGATATTAACATAAAAATAAGTATGTTATCGAAGCTCCAGCTGAGATAGCATTTTCTGCCAACTGTTGACTGATCCCAAAGAAGATATTGATTCAGAGAAAGTAATTTATTTCAGTTCATTTGCTCATGTATATGTAATCTACATGTATGTGTAGAAACTACAGGTGACTGGGTGAAAATAGTTTGTGCATGTTGAGGTACCTTGAGCATGATTTTGACTGAAGGCGGCAGGATCCATAGGCATGATACTGATAGCCTTCAAGGTATCTTGGCTCATACACTTGGACTTTTGGGGTCTTTGGAAATGGTTTCACAGGATGGCCTCCAGAGTCATCTAGAAATGTGGAGGTTGAGAAAAGGAAGGTATGAATGTACCACTCTCAAAAGTAGGGTTGTCTCATCCAAACATTTCACAAACAAGTCACTAGATGGAAGAAAAATGTTACTTCCTGGGCATTGCACATTTGAATTCAGTTTATAGTCAATAAATTTGTCACATATTGAACCTAGTACTTTGTGTCTTCTCTCTTTATTGCTGCCTACACCAGCTTTCAAGTGTCCAGCATACAGGCTTTTTGTCCCATAAATTGCTCTCCATCCCATTACATTATATTCTAATGGAGTCCCCATGATTGCCACAATCATCCATGGCTTGCTTGCTTGCTTTTCCATTTTTAAGCCAGTGGCCATTGGGCATATTAAACCTATGGTGGAGAGCCACCACTGCTTAGCATGTCATGCTCTCCCAGGTAGGATTCATGGTGCAGCCATTTTAATTGTTTAGCACGTGATATAAATTTTTTCAGTTGAACAATTTTATTTTGTTACAGTCCCCTTTTCAGATACAGATTTCAGATAAGACTACCATTTATTTGTATCTAGCTGTAGGCATCTTCTACTCCATTTGCTGCAGTGATGCTATTAAAAATGAATCATTAAAAATGCCTGCTTAAGGATTAGTTATCTTGTGTTGGCTCAAGTTGCACAAAGAATTTCTCTATGAATTTCATATACAAGCCCATTTCATTGCACAAAGTGGTAACTGCTGATGGAATATTGACAGGTCATGTCCAAAGAAGCTGGAAAGGAAATTGAGTCCCGCAATGAAAGTATATGCAATGTTTGGGTGAGTATTCACATTGAAATGTGGCAAAGATATTTTCAAGTGTTCTCAAGTATATTGGAAACAATGCAATGTTGAAGAAAATTCTTTGTACTGTTAGACTTAAATATCAGCATTACTCAAAACAGAATGAATCATTTCTGCCAGGGCATTTCTATATTCATATATTACAAGGGTTTCAAGCATTTTTTTTCTTGGGTCATTATATGAAGGGCAGAGTAACAAGCAATGCCTTCACCTCATCTCATTCACAAATGCATGATCTGCATTCACAAGGCATCTTATTCTATTACCCATGTAGAGCTGCAGTTGGCATAATTTAAAGAAAATGCCTTCAGTATGAACAGATAGCTGGCTCTGTAATCTTATGTTGCCAAAACAGATAATTGAATTGAAATGGGGCAGGGTGGGTGGGGTGCCATCTAGAAGATCTTTCAAACCTGAACTGAACAGAGAAATTATTATTGCATCATTTGTGCACATTGAAATTAAAAAAAAAAAAAAAAAACTGAAAAAAGTGGGGGCCAAGTATAATTCTACAATTATCTTAGAGCTTTGTAACACTATCTGTATCTATCTGTTGATAGAATCAAAGCAGCTGAAATATTAATAAAAGCTGAATAAAGACAGTTCTTAATGTCTTAGTACATTACCTTAATTAGTAATATAATGTAAAGCATTATTAGAGCTGCAATCACTTCTATAGATGATTTGTTCTACATGTATAATTTGATTAATACTTAGCCAGTATGACAATTTTTGAAGTAGATAGCATGCATATACGTTTGAAGAAACATTGAGCAAGCTATGCGGCTGGTAGTTTTGTCACCTATGTTATAAATTGCATAGATAGTCCTCAATTTCCATTTGAGGGGAGGGGCATTAGTTCAGTGATGTCTATTTTGGTGAATAAATTTGCAAAAATTTAAAGACATCCATTGGCCACTCTTGCCAAGCGGTACTATGGTTCTGGATTCACTATCACAGTGATATGTTTTTCCCAATTTGGACATCCCAGTAAGCCATCAAATGAAGGAACCATTTTTCCTGTTTGTAGTTTCTCAAAACCAAATGTGCCATGCAGAAATGCCACAATGGTATTTGGACAACATAACAAACCAACTTGTCTGCTTCCAGTGTCAAGCAAACCTACTCAAGTGTAGTTCATATAAATTCAGAAAGTTGTCTCTAAGAACTGTCATTAGCAGCTTCCTTTCAAATTAAAGTAGTGATTGCAAGGGAGAAGGAAAGAATTAATTTTTTTTGCTGAGACCAAGTGGCTACATGGTTGGACAGGGACAAAGAGCTCTGGGTGATTTTGGGCCATCTGTAGAATCTCAAACTAAATTATCCTGCAGGATGTTTGCTATGCAGATAAAATGGAGAGAAGGAAGACCTTGTAAGCTGCCTTTAGTTCCTTCCAAGAGAAAGAAAGGTGGGGCATTAATGCAATATCATCATTGTCATCTTTGTCATGATCATGATCATCATCTCCTCTTCATGCATAACAGCTCTTTCCTTCCTCCACAGGAAAAGAAAGAAAACAAAATGAGCAACCTTACTTCCATATCCACTTTTCTGCTATTGGAAATCTCAGATGTCCAAAAGCTACAGATATTATACTTCTACATGTTCCTAGCACTATATTTGGTAGCAATAACAGGGAATCTTCTCATGATTATAACAGTTGCTCTTAATCATCACCTACACACTCACATGTACTTCTTCCTGAAAAAATTGGCCATGCTGGACATTGGGACAGTTTCTGTCATGATCTCCAAACTGATGGTGATGTCTCTCATGAATAGCAATTTCCTTTTCTGGCTGTGTGGCCCAGGTTCTCTTTTACATCTTTGGAACAACAGATCTTGCCCTCCTAACTATAATGGCACATGATTGCTATGTTGCTATCTGCAACCCACTCCAATATGGAAGAATTATGCACAAAGAAGCCTACCTTCGGATGGTAGCCATTGGACGGATTATGGGTCTTTGTAATGGCATCTTACACACTGGTAGCACTTTTTCGATCAACTTCTGTTCTAATAATGTCCATTAGATCTTCTGTGAAATCCCACAGTTACTGAAGATTTCCTGTTCTACAATTTACCTACAGCTTGGGCTCCTTATACTAACTTGCAGCAAATCAGTAGAATGCTTCATCTTCATTATCATCACATACATACAGATCTTTTCTGCAGTGTTTAGACTTCCTGCTGTCCCTGATTGAAAAAAAGCCCTCTCCACCTGTCTTCCTCACCTCACTGTTGTCTCTGTGTTAGTATTCACTGGTGTTGCTGCCTACGTAAGGCCTCCCACTAGTGCTTCTTCTGATCTTGATATGATTGCTGTGCTATATGCCATGATACCTCCCACAGTGAATCCTTTCATCTACAGCATGAGAAACAAAGGGATCAAGGGTGCTTTATGGAAAAAGTTAAGGTGTGGGAGCTGTACGCGAAAAAATACCTCTAGTGTTGGTGTACGAAAGTTACACCCCTGTATGTAAGTAATCAGCACTGTAGTTAGTAGCCTCACACGATGAAGACCAACATTCTCCATTGGCTGCAGCACTCAGCATGGTAATGAGACTTTTAAGCAGATCTTGTCAATTCTGACAGTGCCAGCAAGTGAAGACTGATGGACAAGAAATCAGAAGAAAGGATGAGTGAAGAATCTATTTTAGTGGTAGGAATGTAGTGATTGCTTGGGCTCTGGTCCCCGGACCCTGGTCCACTTTTCCACACCTGTGAGTGCAAGTTCCTGGTGAGCATGTACAGCATTCATGCAGTGCTCACCAGGAATTAAGACTCACATGAGTGCTATGCAAACAACATCTCTCTTCCATGACACATCCATCAGCCTGTGCTTTCTAAGCTAGGGCTGTGCACCAGAGCGAGTCCATGAACGCTAAAGGGACTGATTCTGTTGAGTTTCAATGCATATCTACTCAGTAGAACCAGAGTCTAGTCTCTACTTGAAGGTTGCTGGGTGACTCTGGGTCAGTCACAGGTTCTCACCAGAATCTACTTCGCAGGGCTTCTATAAGGATAAAATTGGGGAGAATTTACTTCTTTGTGGTTGGGGTTGATTTGGTTTTCCCTCATGGTTCCGGTTCCAGTTCCCCTTCCCCTTCCCCAGCCAAGAAAGTTGCTGTCTGCTTCACCTGGAAACCTTCTAGTTGTGGCTATTCACATTGTAGCCTCAGCCGTGGTTTGCTTGGCATTTATTTGTTCATATTCCTTGATATTCTCCCTGACCTTCAAAAACAAAACAAAGAACAAAACTCTAGTGCCATGGATTTGATTGCAATGATATCAGATGATTAGGTATCCCTTTCTGGATCTGTGTTTACAAAATGACTCATCAATGGAATAAAATAAATAAAGTTGCATTCTCATTGTTGATGCCATGTCCCCACTTCTCCCAGTGGACTTCTGAAACAGAGTCCAAACTCCTGCAGCCCCCCCAGCCAAACCCACCTAGAGAGGAGTGAATGATTAGGGCTGAGGAAAGCAAGCCAGACCTCCATACCCAAGACTTCATGCACAATGCCAGAAGCCACCAGAGCTGATGCTGGGTGCTATAAGTTCCTTTCTTTCTTGTTGTTCTTTCTTTGCACTGTATGTAAAGCTTATATTTACAATGCACACATATGCAGAATAAGATTAATGCATTGAAGGGGCAAATTTCAGTCGAAGGAAATGGTGTCCCATGTTCAAAAGAAAAACCTGGATGAAGCAAAGAAAAGTGGGAAGCATAAAAATGGGACACTTGGTGCCTGAGTGGCAGGCAGTGTCAAATTCATGTCAGAGGGCCTTAGACAGCTGGAGGTCTGTAGGCTGCATTATTATCACATCTCTGATGTCTGCAGTATCTGTTACATCCATCCAAATGGCTGGCAGTGTTCAGGGTAGCCAAGCCTCTGCTAAGGGCCCATCTACACATAAGGCATCCCAACTATTCCTACCACTGCCCCTTGGATCAAATTTACTGAGCAGGGAAATAAGAAAACCTTTCTGAAGTGTCAGGTGGCCCTTGATTGGGTGGAAGTGGCCCTTATCGGGCTGCAGAGCTCCACTGAGTGGCGTGTTATGAATGGCTGCTTCACATTTGAAACCAGGAGTGATGTTACTGCTATTAGAAGGGATTATTCTATTCCTCTTAGGAAGACTAGTATTTTCTTGGAATTCTCTCAGATCAGTTAAATTCTATTCCAGTTATTTTAATATGGACCATCAGGGTATAACATCAAACATGATCTAAGGCATTTCCATCTTTTTTACCAAAAGGTACTATATCTGCTTTGGTTTTGCATGCCAGCGCTTTGACACTAAAACATTTTGTCCCAGTACTTTGATACCTTTTGAAAACTTGCTTTGAAATAATGTTAGACATGCATTGCACTCATGTATGCTGGAGGCAGGAGCATTTGGCACATTCCAGCTATCTGCTTCAGTGTCTTAAAAAGCAGAAGAAATAATATTGCAGAGGTGGTAATTTCACTAACAATTTCTCATCCAGATTGCTGGACCGGTGGGAGTAAGTTCCCATGAAATTATAAGAACCCATGAAGTCAAAGCAGACTTACTCCCTTCCCATACATTGAGTAATATTTATAACTGAAAATTGTGCACCTATGTGAAACATTTTTAATTCTTGTATAGAAGGGAAGAATAACGTGGGAGCTAATATTATACCAGAAGATTGGAAGTAGTTGGTCGAGATTGGTGAATCATGTCCCAAAGGTAGTTTGAAGGGCAAGTTGAATGTTGGAGTATATCTGAAAGTATTTTAAGACATTTGATAATTGTGCTATTTAGTGTATTTTCTGTCATACAGAACAACTCTCCCCACCCCTTTTCTAACTCTCTATTAACTCACCTATCTACCTATTATCTATACTTGTCTATTTACAAATACTTCTTGCTGAAATAATATTGTGTTATCATGATCTTCTCCACTAATCAAGTCAAGCATACTTAAATAGAACAAAGCAACAATTTCAGTGTTATTTTAAGATGCATTTAAGATATTTTCAAGCAGCTTTATATCTACTCATCCCATTAAAATGGTGAAGACAATATCAACATATAGTTTGTCTTAAAGGTTTCATGGCAAACTTTTAGGGGATATTGCAAATGAACAAGAATCTATGCACATGAAGGTGATATTGTATTGCCTGGCAAATAACTGCTCATGCAGCTGGGAAGAATGCATGAAATTATGTAAGAGGCAATTCCTGCCAGATTATGGCCCCTCTTTAATTAAAGAAAGATCTGGATATCTCTTTTTCCTTTGAAAGAAAATGTGCTCTCTTTTTTGTTTGTTTACCATTCTAACATTACATTTAGAATTTTGCCATGTCTTTGGGCAAATAAATTGTATTTTACTAAGGTAGAAGTCAGATATATTAATTGGTTTTCTCTAGAAAGAAACACTAAAATGTGAATGGATAAATCTGACCAGTTGCAGTTGGTTAGTTTGTGGCAATTACATTTCAAGTCCATTATTAAAGGAAGGTGAGGGTATGGGATTCGATTTCAAGAAAAGAATAGGACTGATACTGATAGAGAGCAGTTAAGGAAGTCAGTTCATCTGGTAGTCAGATATGGGGGTCAGATTCACGCAGTTGTGACTGGAGTATGAAGAACTGGGGCAGGATTTTGGTTAGAGGGGTATGGGAAAAGCTTAATGTGAGCCTGGAGCAGGAGTAGAGGACTCCTGAAATATCTTTTAGGGAAGCCTAGAGCAGGAAAGGAGAAGAAGTGAAGGAAAACTGAAGAACCAACCTAGGGGCTGAACTTGCAAAAGCTGCAGAAGCTCTGCTAGTGAGGAGTGAGGGACTCCTGAGGCAGATTTTAGGAAGGAATTGAAGCCAGAATGACAGTGGATTGCAGTGTACTTGAAGCAAAGACAGTTTGTTGAAGGAAATGGAGGCTTCTTGGTATAGCTCTGGGAAATGCTTGAAAAGTATTTCAGTGAACTCCAGGTCGAGAGGGAAATACACATAAAGCCCTCTTAGCCGGGCAGTGAGTTAACTTAGAGCCTGGTGTGGAAAACAGCTTATTGTACCATGATGCACATGTGCTGCTCAGAGCACAATTTGGTCCTGTTACATTCTATGTTGCTTGCTCTGAAGAATGTCAAAGTAAAATTGCAGCTTTAAGGGCTGGATTGTATGTGGAACCATAGGTATCACAGCACTACTTTCCTTCACCAGTAATGCCACTATTGTTCTGAGGGATGGTTTGGCCTGAAAAATAGGATATGATAACTAATAGTAATAGCTAGCTTTATAGGACACCTTATCTGGAAGCAAGCATATTTGTTGTGCTGATCTTAAAATACATCTGCTATGACTTTGTTTTACTAGTCCACATTCCGAGTTCCTGGGGAATGCTCCTGGGGTTTGTGGAGTACTCTCCAGGAATTGAGTTGGCAGCAGAAAGCAGGGGAGAAGGTTGGCCAGCTGGAAAGGTGGCTGGTATGCCAGGTTGCTGCTCCCCTGCAAGAACCACCCAACCACCAGAGCAGCTGCTAAAACTGAGATGGTTCCTCAGGATAAAGAAGGCTCATTGCAGGGCACTCGGTCATGAGGGGCCCACTAGGAAAGCATTCCCCATGACTGGTAGCAGTGCCTGTTTGCATGCCAGAACAGCTGTTCAGAGAGCAGACAGGAGGGTGCTGCTTTCCTGGAGTTCCCCTCTCAACTGAGTACTCAGCAAGCATTCACTGGCTTCATCTCAGCTCACCCCTCTTTGGAAGTCTGGGTTGAGCTCAAGACAAAGCCCACAAATGCTTGGAGGGATGGATTCCAGCTGGCTTCATCTCATCCCTATCCTCAGGTTATCCATTTCTGCCAGGTTTATTGGATGGGAGGTGCTATCAGCATGTATGAACTGTGAACTTTGAATTTTCTGTCCCTGTAAAATTAGTGGCGCTTCCATGGCAATAGATTTGTGAATCTCCATCCACCCAAGAAATTGTTTAAAGTGGTACTTAGTGTTATGTAGGAGAGCATGAATAATCCAGAGAACAACATGGTGGGACTCAGCTGGACTACAACCCTCTTGTATAGCAGCTCCAGTAGACTCTGAAGTTTGGACTAAACAAGAGCAAGAAGGGAGTTGCTCACTGTGCAATAAATAGAGTTTGCCTTTTAACCTAGAAGCCATAATTTTTCCAAAGGTCCTTCCTACTTTGGGTAGATCCTAAAATGGAAGTGATGGCAGAAAATCTACCCAGGAAGATATCCAGTCATCTCCAGTCATCCATAGTTGATTGTGGTCTTGATGTACCACAGTAATATACTTAACAATTAGACACACCCTACTACAAGCTCAGCATAATGTTCTGAAGAATGGTTGAATCTCTGGAAAATTATTCTAAGCACTGAAGGATAACATTTAAAATTGCCAGCCAAATATTGTGCTTGTCAGTTGATATTTCAAGGTAAAGTTACATGCAGGCAGGAGTGTGCCCATTTCAGGTACTCCAAATTTAGTTGAAGTTACAAAGTTGTAATTTATGTTGTGAATACTGAAATATTAGCATCAAAACGTATGCATGCTTTTATGTTCAGTTCATGCCAGTTTGTGGTGTTCTTCTGTCTTTGATTCAGAAGCATTGCTTTATTTTTTTATACTTGAAATCACAGTGCATTGCTTTTATTGCCCATAACTGCAAATTTGGGTATGTGATATTGGAAGGTTCAGAAAGGTTGCTTACTTTATGTGCAAAAATGTAAATTCAAAAGTAACATACCATTTTATGGATTGTGTCTTTTTCGGGATCTGGCTGGTTGTGGGCATTTTTTAAAGATGGAATTGAGAGAGATTTTATACTTTTCAATCTTTGGAATCCAGGTTGAGATCCAAAAATGGGAATGTTTTTAAGATGACTGGCTAATCAATTTTAGTAGATTAAGAAGTTCTATCTTCCTTTTGCAGGTTCCAGGCCAGAAATGAAGAAAAAATGAATAATCTCTCGACTCTGTCTACCTTTCTGCTGCTGGAATTCTCAGAAGTCCGAGAATTACAGCTCTTACATTTTTTTGTGTTCCTGTCATTGTACCTGACAGCATTAATAGGAAATCTTATCATAATCATTACAGTAAGCCTTGATCACCATCTACACAACCCCATGTATTTCTTTCTGATTAATTTGGCCATGCTGGACATTGGGACAGTTTCAGTCATGGTGCCCAAATCCATGGCTATGTCCCTCATGAATAGCAGGTCAATTTCCTATTCTGGCTGTGTGGCCCAGGTTTTCCTTTATCTCTTCTTTGCAGCAACAGACCTTGCCCTCCTAACTATCATGGCACACGATCGCAACGTGGCTATCTGCAACCCACTGCACTATGAGAGAATTATGCACAAAGGAGCCTGCCTTCAGATGGTAGCCATTGGGTGGCTCAGTAGTCTTCTTTATGCCATCTTACATACTAGCAGCACATTTACAATCACTTTGTGCTCCAATATTGTGCATCAGTTCTTCTGTGAAATCCCACAGATATTAAAGCTGTCCTGCTCTGACTTGTACCTCGTGGAAGTTGGCCTTCTTGTATTCAGCTGTGGAATAACAGCTGGATGCTTTACCTTTATCATTGTAACATACATGCAGATCTTTTCCACAGTGCTCAGAATCCCTTCAGTACATGGTAAAAAGAAAGCCCTCTCCACTTGTCTTCCCCATCTAACTGTAGTCTCCATATTTGTATTCAGTGGCATCTTCATCTATGCAAAGCCTCCCAGTGGTGTTTCTTCTGATCTAGACATAGCTTTTGCTGTGTTATACACAATCATTCCTCCCATGTTGAATCCATTCATCTATAGCATGAGGAACAAAGAGATCAAGGCTGCCCTGTGGAAACTTTTCAGATTTGGAGATTTGCTCTGAATCTATCTTTCCAGTTGTTCTGCAGTATTGATCAGTATGCTTTTACTGTGTATGAATAGCTCTTACAAACTGAATTCCAAGATGGCAATGGAGCAACCACCTCTTTGTTGAGCTCTCTTTGATACTTTATCAGTTTTATCATTTTTAATTTATTTTTATTTATTTATTTAAAACTTTTATATCCTGTCACCACATTCCTCAGCATCTCGGGACAGCTTTGTTATCCGCTTTGTTACTTATTTTAACTTTTATTTAGTTGTGTTTTAAAACCATGCCTCCTACAAATGATGCTGCATCTCAGATCTGTTAAGTTCCTGGAAATATTATACAAGCCTCTGTTGCAATGGTGCATAAATATGTGTTCCTTCACTTTCTAAGTTTGTAGAATTAGCAGACATAACTCTCTGCCTGTCAGGTTCAGTGCTGGTATGTGGTTGCAACAGGGACAGCATGGATGCATAAGCTTAATTACCAGTGAATAAGGCTGCTCTCAAACTGGCCCAAGAAGCAGGAGTTTGCTTTCATTCCTTTTACTTTCATGTTGAGCATGGAAGTTACTCATTAAATGTGACGGATTGGTTTAGGTTAATCTGACCAAGTCAGGTTCTCCAATCCCATCTGGATGAGTTACATAGGCAGTATTCAGTGGCACTTTTGCTGATTAATAAAATGGCTGAAGCAATAACTAGCAATGATCCCTGCAGGCCATGGTTGTAAAGATTACAGACAGCCTAGAGTTGTCTCTAAGGAAGAAAGCATTGAAGTTTCAGATGGAAAGATGCAGTGGTTCAACTCTGAGCATGCATTAAGTACCTTTCCCGCACCACTGGACTTAGCAAATAGAAATGCACACATAGGAAAATATGATTAGGTTGAAAGGGGAATCAATTCAGTGATTTGGAACTGGGTGGGAAGTATATTAATCTTTAGTGCCAGACCCACAACTCAGGACCTTTTTCTCAATAAACATGCCAAACTCAATGTTGCAATGCAAAATAACTTGTCCTGGACTCCTAGGCACTGTTCTCTGAGGACCCTCCGAACAACATGGGGCTTACTTCTGCTTAGACATAAGTTGGGAAAGACCAAATACAACCTTTAATTTAAAAAATTGCTTTTATGTGTCCTTTTATTATAAAATCTGGCAGCAGTGCTTTTACTGCTCTCCCCTAGAAAGAACTAGGACTTTTTGTCCTATTCCAGAAGTCTGAGAAAGTAGGTAACACCAGAAGCTTTGGTATTCTATTCTATCCATTCTCCTCTCCAGTTAGCCATGTGCCTGAGGCAATAATTTGCATTGGACTCAATAGGTGAGAATACTCAATCATGCAAGGAATGCAGGCACAGGCCTTCAATCTGCTGTGATACATTCCACTACAATGAAAAGGAAAACCAAGTATTGGTTGACTCTCCTGCTGGGAGGAGCAGCACTGAACAGATTTCTTTGTCCTGGATGTTCACCTTCCCCTGAATGTCAAACCCACACCTGGTACCAGTTATGATTCATGTCACTCAACTATTTACCTATTCACTTTTCAATCACCCTGTATCATTGTAGCATTTTGTAACATCCTTTCTGTCATTAACCCTGCATTGTTCTGTTCATACTTCTATTGTTCTCTGCGAATGTATCCATTCATTGCTCACCATCACCCCAAAATGTGTATGTGACCCACAGCCTATAAAACTTTCTGTATATGTTCAGGGAGCTCATAGCCAGTTCTGTATACCAATTACCCTGTGGTGCTGCTGTTTTATTGTCTGTTAGAGAGGGATTCCCAGGGTGTCCTGCCAATCAACTGCTGAAACTGAATCTAGCATCTTCCATGTGAATCTGAGAGTACATTCTCCTAGTTCTGCAATTCCAAGTTTTCCTGACACATACCTAGAACTGAATAAGTGAATACACTAAATCTTCCCTCCCTTCCCTAAAAAACTCCTCCTATTTAAATTAATGATTTCAGATCATAGGAACATTGGAATTCATCTTATGCAGAGTCAAATCCTTGACCCATCCAAACCTGTATACTTAACACAAGAGTTGTGTGATTAATGTGTCTGGGGAGTGAGGATCTGTCAGATTCCTTGGGCTCAGCTCCCCAGGCTCTGTCCCACTGTGTTTCTGCCTGGAGATCGGGCTCCTGGAGAATGTGCCCACCTCCACGCCCAGGACATGAGCACCAGGCAACCACTGCACAAGCAGCATCCCTCTTCCACACCATGTGCAGCAGCCATTGTTTGTGTTGCAGCAGGTGATGCGGAAAAAGGTTGCCAGTTGCACGGCCTTTGCTCTATGAGCATTCACAGACTTCCTCTTGGTTTGGCTTGCTTTCTGAGATTAGGCTGAGCACAAAAGGAAGTCTATGAATACTAGAGGAACTGATGCCACTGAGTTTCATCTCAGTCCTAGTCCACACTGATTGGAAGTGGTATTTCAGGCCTCATTAAAAGGTTCCTAAAGACAAGCCATGGATTTTCTTCCTAGGAGCAGAATGGGAATTGCCTGGCTGAAGGGAGATATCTCACTCTTGCCTCCCCTACCAACAATTGTTCGTCCTTCCTTCCTTCCTTCCTTCCTTCCTTCCTTCCTTCCTTTCTTTCTTTCCTTCCTTCCTTCCTTCCTTCCTTCCTTCCTTCCTTCCTTCCTTCCTTCCTTCCTTCCCTTATTTCTTTAGCTTGTCTTGTCGGGCTGTCTTTTGAATCTTTGCTGCTTGCAGCATGCAGCTAAGTATTTGTCACTGGAGACACTGCTTAGCTCAGTTAGTCCAGAGCCTCATCTGGAGGTACTTGACTCATCTGAGAAGAGGTTAATGCAGACCAGCCCTGTAATGGGTGAAAGGGCCAAACTCAACATGGGACTCCTCTCTGAGTTGCCACTTGGGGTGTTATGTTGCTGCAAGGGCTCCCCATCTTCTGGGAATAAGAAAACAACCACTTTTACCAACCAGCTCACTTTTCCAGAGCTTTTGCCTTGATGGGTTCTGTTCACTCAGTTTAGATGACAGAAGAAGCAATTATTTTAGGGAGAAGCCCTAGAGCACACCATTGTTTCTTATTGTGCTTCTCAGCTTCTATAAATCTGAACAGTAAATCATGACTGGGTTCA